CAGTCTGAGCAATATAGCAAGACTCCACCTTTACAAAAAAAAAATTTTTTTTTAATTAACCATGTGTGGCAGCACATGCCTATAGTCCCAGCTACTCAAGAGACTGAAGAGGGAGCATCACTTGAGCCCAGGAGTTCCAAGCTGCAGCAAGCTCTGACCTGGGCAACTCCAGCCTGGGCAACAGAGCAACGCCTTGTCTCTAAAATAACAAAAAAGAAAGAAAGAAAAAGCAGTGCGAAAATAAAGATGTAATTAATATAATTTGTGGATGTGTGTCATCCCAGCAAAACTTCAGGGAGCAGCCCTCTTGATTATTTTGGAAACTGCTTCTTGGCCCCTTTCTCTCCCTAGCTGAATTGGTGGCTGCCCTGTCCCCATCTTCAAGGAGCCCACAGGTGATTATGATAAGGCACCATGAGTTCCCTTCCTGGAAGGGGGAAAAGGGGGTGTTGCCATAGGAACACCTAAAAGTGGAGCATAACCCAGATCTGGAGATTTGGGAGGCTTCCTAGAAGAGGTGCTGTCTCAACTGAGACCTAGAGGATGAACAAGAGTCAGAGAAAGATTGTTCTAGGGGTAGGGCACTGCGCGTGCAGAGGTCTGGGAGTGTGAGAGAGAATGGAGCATTGGAGAATTAGAAATAGTTTAGCATGGCTGGAGATTTGAGAGGGAGAGGAGGGAAGAGATGAGAATGGCATGAGGGAGGGGGAGTGGAGGGAGAGAGGCAGAGGGGAGGGGACACAAAAAGGGGCTGTTGCTCTGGAAACCAGGAAGCCAAATCACATGGTCTTTTTCTTCAATTAGCAGCACCAGAGGCTCCCAAGGTCCCCCAGCTGGGGTGGGAGTCAAAGCCTTTGGGAACTCTGAGCTTGTTAGGGGGGAAAAAGAAAACCACATCAGTGGAATTCAGGGCTCCCCACCGCCACTCTTTTTAAAGGAATAAATTGTCACCTTCCTACTCAATCTGGCTGCTGGCTCCCCTGGCCCCAATCCAGCTGCCCACGAATGCACTACCCTGCTGCCTCCCACCCAGATCAGCCTTGGGACTCAGCCAGCAGGGGAGGTGGGGAGGCTCAGGGGCCACATTTGTTCACCGGGTCCCCATAGTGGGCCCCAGACACTCCTGGCAGCAGGGGCTGGGTGGTGGGGAAGAAAGTGTCTCACAGACTCCAGGAAGGTGGCTGCTGCCTCCTGAGGAATTGGTCACCTTCACTCCCCTCCTGCTGTCGTGTGGGTTCTGCCCCTTCCTTCACAGTGAGCCCTGGCTCTGGGAAGTGGAACTAGGGCTCTCCTGTCTAAGCTTTGCTGTCCCTTCTGTGAGCCACTCTTGAGGTCACATGAAACAGAGGAAAAAGCATTACATAATTTTTCACATTACTAATAATAGCAGCCATTCATTGGGTGTTTAGTATGTGACTCCTTGAGATCAGCCTAGGAAGGAATTAGTATCATTCCCATTTTACAGATGAGGAGACTAAGGCTCAGAGAAGGTAAGTCACTTACTATCTTGGCTCAAAAGTGGCAGAGCCATGATTGAGACTTAATTGAGACTCGAGTCTGACAGATTTAGAAACTCCTGAACAGACTAGCGCCTCTTGAAGACATCTTCTTTCTGCTCTTAGTTTTCTCATTTGTGAAATAAACATATTAAACACCAAATTTAACAATTAAGCAAATAAGTCGATGTTTCCTGGGTGCCTATTTGGCTTGAGGTCTGTGCCCTTAGGTTGCTCACAGTCTGGAAGGAGGAACTCACACGCTGGCAGATATACATCACATACTAAGTATTCTATAAGTATGTACAGAGTGCTTGCTCTGTGACCATAGGAGTGGAAACTGGACAGAATGTCCAAGGGACACTTTAGGATCTGGGCTGCTCTAGGAGGTAAGAACACCGTTGCCTCGATCTCTGTGCTCCAGCTTCAGAGCTTGGATTCCGGAGTCAGAAGGTCCTAGAGGGAAACTCAGCTCTCGGGGTCTCAGTTTTCTCATCAGTTCAACTGGCATGATCATAGTGCCTTCTTCACAGAAAAGCCAGTTCCAGCTCATAGGTAGGCATTCTAGTAAGTATTAGATATTATTGCATTCTAGTAAGTGTTAGATATTATTACAGTAGAAACAACCTGGGTCCCAGAATCTTCACAGAGCTAAGAGTGCAATGCGAGCCTCTTGGACAGGTGAGGAAGAGGCTACAGAACTTGACTCATTCCCCATCTGCACTCCTGAAGCCCTGCATAAGCAGGTCCTGAGCTGCAGAACACTTTGCTATAAATTTCCTTTGCTACAGAGAGTTCTTGGGGTCAGGTCAGTGAAAGTAAACTTTTTGATGGTTGAAGAAGAATAGTAAATATTTACATAGCTCTTACTGGGTGCCAGACACTGTTCTGAGGACTTCACATTCATTAATCCACTTAAACAATGAGATCAAAGGCAGGTTCAGAGAAGGGGTTTCGGAAAAAGGATTTAGTCTGGCTAAATCCTCCCAAGTCTCTAAAAGATGTCTAAAGAGTATTTTTTTTTTCTTCCAAAACATAGGGGGTGGCTGAGTTGTGCTATTTGCATATATTTGCATAGGCAGGGGGTGAGTGATGAAAGGTGTGGAGTAGTGGGATGAATGACCCATGACTTGTGCCCTCTTATGCCTTACACTAAAAGCTGGGGGTACCCAGAAGAAGAGGAAAAACCAAGCCCATTCTCAATAAGGAGGGCCTTGGAGGTGCACGTATTCTCATGGTCTTCAGAGGTCCACAGAGACCCTTAAATCCTCCCTACAACATATCAGCATGCATGCTCCTGCTCACATGCACTCATAAACTCACACACATTCTCTCTGTGTTGAAATCACTTTCCTCTGAAGAATCTGTCTGCATAGGCTAAAACTGGGCTTTCTGCGGGTCTGGGAGCCTGGGGAGCAGTAAAACTACCACTTGGACAATGATGACTATGATTGGCTCAACTGGTTTCTGTAGCCTCAGTTTCCATAGTCGTGATATGGAAAGGTTGGGCTGAGTGGATTTCTAAAATCCATCCTTCCAATTCCAAACTCTGAGCTCTCCCAGGTAGCTGGGATTGACACAATCTCAGTTCCCTTATCTATAGAGTTGGGGGGAGGCTTGGGGACTGATGTCTAGAGAAGTTCCTTTCAATGTTTAAGTCTTTTGTCAGAACAGAAAACTGTCTCCTGGCCAATTCTGGCATAACGTCAACAACCACAGTCACAAACATGGTCATGTTAATAACTCATTTTTCAAGTGCTTACTATGTGCTAGGCATTTCACCTGCATGAGCTCATTGAAGAGCTCCAAAACCCTTGATAGGGACCCTTGTTATCCCTACTTGGGGCTCAGAGCGGTGAGGAAACTTGAGTCTCAGAGAGGTCCCATGGGCACAAGCTAGTGAAAGACAGAAAACACCCCTGGTTACTCCCACTGGTGATTAGATTTAAATGGGATTCCTATCCTCATGATGGGATTAGTGCCTTTATAAGAGGAAGAAACCAGAGCTTTCTTTTTCTCTGCCATGTAAGGCTACAGTGAGAAGGCGGCCATCTGCAAGCCAGGAAGAGAGTCCTTACCAATAACAAAATCTGCTGGCATCCTGACCTTGGACTTCCCAGCCTCCAGAACTGTGAGAAATAAACTTTGTTGCTTAAGCTCCCCAGACTGTGATATATTGCTCTGGTAACCTGTGCTGACTAATATACTCCGAGAGTTTAGGACAGAACTGAAACCCCTTGCCCAAATGAACTAAGACTACCCCTTGTTGTTACCACTAGGGATGCTAGGAAAAAAAAAGGATACCTAGTTAAATTTGATAATTCGATTTCAGGTAAACAACAGATAATTTTTAGTTAAAGTATGTCCCATTTGGGGCATGCTTACACTAAAAAAGGATTTATTGGTATTTATTTACTGGTATTTTATCCGGCAACCTATCACCCCACTGTTCAAATTTACCCTAACACTATCACAGCCCAATAATTTGGCCTTATGAGAATCTCCATCCAGGTATTTCATTCTTAGTTTTATTTGAATGGGGATTGAAAAATGGTATCTCTGTCATTGTGATGATACATAAATCCATATATGAAGGTTATTATGAGGATTAAATAAATCCACATCTGAAAATTGCTTAGAGCTGTGCCTGGCACATAGCTAGGGTTATGTTGTTGTTATTGATATTGCTAATATTAAGTTTTTTAAACAATGCCTGGAAAGAACCTGGTAGAGGGAACAATCAAGACCCTCGGCCACCAAATTACAGGATTCAGAACTCTTCTCATCCAATTGGGGATCCCCCAGAATCAGCACCCCAGCCCTCCTATTGCAAAGTGGAAGAAATTGAGCTCCTTTGAAGACCCTCATCCTCCATATGGGACACTGGGAGGCCACATGCCCAAGGCTGACAGGTTCTTATCCTTGGGGATGCCCCATAAACCCCACAGGGCTGGATACTGCTGGGGCAGAGGCAATTAGAGGGTATCTGCAGGGAGGCCATTAGAGGGACAGGTGTCCCTCCCTGCACACCTAAACTCTGGTGGCACAGCAGTGGCTCTGAAATCTCCCTAGGAAGGCTGTCACAGCCAAGGTGGGGTAGGGGCCCGGATGCCAAATCCCTCCCAAAACTACCATGGCCAGACCTGTAGTGTCAGAAACTGTGCAAAGCACTTTCCCCATGTTATCTCATCTGCCTGGCACGGTAGTCCAAAGAGAGTGCCATTGTGACCCAAACGTCTAGAAGAAGCTGAGGCTCAGAGAGATTAAGAAACTTGCTCTATGTCACGCAGCTTGTAAACTGCAAAACTGGGATTTAAGCCCAATACTTTTTGTATCCGGGCCTAGAAGAGTGTCCATGACAAAGCTAGTAGGGGGAAAGCTATCAGGAGACTCGGGTCAGGGCACCCCAACCCCCCAACAGAAGCTGCCAGGCCTTACTGATAGAACAAGTTCCTGAGAGTATACGCCTCTCTGCCTGCTTCCAGCCCTGGTCCTTGCACTTACCTGGGCTGATATTGATGTCTGTTTGTGGAAAGGCCTGTGCCCAGTGGAGGGTCAGGAAGGCTGCAGCCCACAGTGTCCACCTTTGCATGCTGAGCTCCTAGAAAGCAACCTCCTGGCCTGAGTGGAGGAGAGAGGCTCTTTGGCCAGAGCTTGGGTCCAGGATTGCTCTCCTAGGGTCAGATGGAGCCTGGCAGGAGCTGGGATAGACTGGATGGACTCCAGTCCCCTCCTTTCATCCTTTTCTCCTCCCTCCTCTTCACACTGCTGGAGACAGCTCAAAATGACAGCTGAAAGCAAAGCAGCCCTAGGCCAGCCCCCCTCAAAGAACCAAGAGACATTTTCACTCCTAGCCTTGCATCTGAACCAGGAGAAAGTTTAGCTCTCAGTCTTGTCTCTGAGCTAGGCTGTGGCCTTGGGTGTGCAGTTCTCTCAGACTCAGTTTCCTCCTCTGTAAAATGGGATAATAACAAAACACACATTTCAGCCTGTCATAGGAGATAAAGCATCTCACACCCCTCAGAGTAAGAATACTGCAAGTCAGCACTGAGGGCAGAGGCCTCCTGGGCCATGGATGCTATTTGTTTGGTCTGCAGTGTTTTAAATTCTAAAAAATTTGTTAAGGTATAAAACCAGGAGATTTTAGGTACAACTTCAGATTTCTGTCTTCTATTGGAAAATCTGAAGATCCAACAAAACTTAGCCCTCATTTCCATGGGGCAACAATTGCATGGGGCTGAGAAAAGCACCTCCTTTAGCCAGGCTCTTTGAGCTTCAGTTCACCAAGGTCCCCATCCCATGGGTCTGACCCTGACAACATCAGAGGCCCCACTGCTGAGGAAGCCTGCGTGAGTCAGCCTCCTTTCCTCTCCCTTCACCTCTCAGGGTCTCCCAGGGTCCCTCGGGAGTTAAAGGAGGCATCTGTAGAAGGTTCAGCAGAGTGTTGTACAGAATAAGTGCTCCACAAAGAGGTGAAAGTATCATCATTAGTGCATAGTTCTATTGTGTGGCTTGCTCAGAATTCAATGTTTAAAAATCCCTAGTGTTTCCATTGGGATCTCATTGCACTTTTGGAGAGCGAATATTTCTAAAAACCAGAATCTTTCTCCTTCACTTTGTGTGTCCTTACGCAAGTCATTTTGCCTCTCTGAACCTCAGCTTCCTCCTCTATAAAATGGGGAATAGAGTACCTACCTCACAAGGATTAAATGAACTTGGCGTAGATGCTGGCAAGCATCTAAAACTTGGTGTAGATGCTGGCAAGAAGTAGGCGCTCGATAAACGAGAGCAACATTTGCTACTGTTGTCATTGATCTAGTGCAAGGCTTTCCTTGGCATCACCCACATCCTCTTCCCCTGCACTCTCTCATTTCTCTCCAGAAATGCTCAGCCAGGTGCCCTGACACCTCATGTGGCTGGCACTCTCAGACAGCACTGGAATGTGTCAGTTTGGCTTCCAAGTTTTCTCTCTGGAACACCTGCTGCTGTGCTTGTGAGGAATAACTTAACTTGTGCCCACACAGCTTGCTTTGCCTGCTGGCACTGGAGCTGCAAGTCTGCCAAGGTCTGACTCAGAATACGAGCACAGATCAGGCTCTGCTTCAACCTACAGGATGCCTCCTTGGGTAGATCAGTTGCCTCCAAACTAATGTGCTGGAGCATATCCCAGACCATGCACATTTATTTATTTATAAATGGCATATATTGATTACATGTTTGTAAGTGCTGTGTAGATGCAACTTACTGTACTAATATATTATTTCTGTCATAAAACACACCCCGCCATGGACATTATTAAACATTGATAAAAATATATAAATATGGAAGAAAGTTTGGAAATTTTTGCCCTCCTCCTTATCATCTTGTGAGCTGAAATTTGGGGGCCCCCGCTGTCATATTCCTGGGTGCTGCTTGGAAATTAAAAGTGTCTATCTTAGTCTGTTTGTGCTGCTATACTAGAACAGCTGAGACTGGTAATTTATAATGAACAGAATTTATTGGTTCACTTTCTAGAGACTGGGAAGGCCAAGATCAAGGTGCTGGCATCTGGTGAGGGTTTTCTTGCTGAGTCATCATATGGTGGAAGGTGAGAGAGTAAAAGAGAGACAAGACACACACACGCAGACAGAGAGAGCGCGCGCTTTCTCTCTCTCTTTAAGAGGGGATGAAACCACTCCCGCCATACCTGAGCTACACTTGTGATAACGGCTTTGATCTGTATTGGAGGGAAGAGTTCTCATAACCCAGACACCTCTTAAAAGTCCTGTAACCTAATGGGACCGGTCTAGTTCAACTTTTAGTAACAAAGTTGTGAGTTGTTTTTCATTTGTTATGGACCCTCGGTAGATTATTGTAAGCTTAACCAAATGGTGACTCCAACTGCAGCTGCTGTACCAGATGCAGCTTCATTGCTTGAGCAAATTAACACATCTCCTGATACCTAGTATGCAGCTATTGATCTGGAAAATGCATTTTTCACTGTATCTGTCCATTGGATCCACCGTAGTTTGCTTTCAGCTGACAAGGCCAGCAATACACCTTTACTGTCCCACCTCAGGGATACATCAGTTCTCCAGCCCTAGGTCATAATTCTGTTTGCAGGGATTTTGACTCCTTTCCCTTTTAAAAAGTGTCATATTGGTCCATTACATTGGTGACATTATGCTGACTGGACATAGTGAGCAGTAGTGACCATTCTGAACTTCTTGGTAAGACATTTGTGTAACAGGAGGTAGAATATATATTCAACTAAAAATCAGGGACCTTCTGCCTCAGCGAAGTTTCTAGGGATCCAGTGGTGAGGGGCCTGTTGAGATACCCCTTCTAAGGTGAAGGATAAGTTGTTGCATCTGGCCCTTTCTACAACCAAGAAATAGGTGTGACACCTTGAGGGCCTATTTGGATTTTGGAGGCAACACACTTCTCATTTGGGTGTGTTACTCTGGCCCATTCACTGAGTGACCCAAAAAGCTGTTGGCTCTAAGTGGGGCTGAAAACAGGAGAAGGCTTGGCAACAGGTCCAGACTGCTGTTAAAGCTACTCTACCACTTGGTTCCTGTGATCCAGCAGATCATAAGGTGTCAGTGGCAGATGGGGATGCTGTTTAGAGTTTGGAGCAAGGCCCTACTTCATCCACAGATAACTACTATCTTGTTGAGAGATTTCTCTTGGCCTGATACTTGGCCTTAGTAGAAACTGAACTGTTGACGGTGGGTCACCAAGCTCTCATGACACTTGAGCTGCCCATCATGAATTAGGTGTTAACCAATCCACTAAGCCATAAAGTCTGACATGCACAGCAGCTCTCCCTCATCAGATGGAAGTGGGATATATGTGACCACACCAGAGCAGGTCCTGAAGGCACAAGTACATTACCAATATGACAGTATCTTCTCTCCCCCAGCCTGCACCTTTGGGCTCATGGGGAGTCCCTTATGATTGGGTGACTAGAAAAGAGAAGATTGGGCTCTGGTTTACAGATATTTCTGCGTAATATGCAGGCATCACCCAGAAGTGGATGGTCTCACTCAGTAGTGGCCCGTAGTAGCACTACAGTCACTTTCTAGTACATTTCTGATGGACAATGTGAGGGGAAATCTTCTCAGTTTGTAGAACCTTGGGCAGTGCACCTGGCTGTGCACTTTGCTTGGAAGGAGAAGTGGCCAGATATGTAACTACATATTGATATATTGTAGCCAATGGTTTGACTGAATAGTCAGGAACTTGGAAAGAACATGATTGTAAAATTGGTAGCAAAGAAATTTGGGGATGAGTTATGTAAACAGACCTCTCTGAATGGACAAAAAACACGGGGTTGTTTGTGTCCCAGGTGAATCCTTACCAAAGGGTGGCCTCAGCAGAGGAGGATGACATGTTCTATGATGAATAGGATGACGTGTTCTATGAGTACCAGGCAGTCTCTTTCCTCAGCCACCCCATTGTTGCCCAATGGGCTCATGAACTAAGTGGCCATGGTGGCAGAGGTGGAGCTTATGCATGGACTCAGCAACATGGACTTCCACTCACCAAGGCTGACCTGGCTACAGTGGCCACTGCTGAGTCCTCAATCTGCCAGCAGCAGAACCCAGCAATGAGCACCCAATATGGCACCATTCCCTGGAGCAATCGGCTAACTACCTGGTGGCAGTTTGATTACATTGGAGCACTTCCATCGCAGAAAAGGCAGCATTTCGTCCTTACTGGAATAGACACTGACTCTGAATATGGATTTGCCTTCCCTGCACACAATGCTTCTGAAAAAACAACCATGCTTGGACTTACAGAATGGTTTATCCACCATCATGGTATTCCACACATCATTGCTTCTGACCAAGGAACTCACTTCACAGCCAAAGAAGTGTGGCGGTGGGCTAATGCTCATAGAATTCACTGATATTACCATGTTCTCTACCATCCTGAAGCAGCTGGCTTGATGGAACAGTGGAATGGTCTTTTAAAATCGCAGCCAGCTAGTTAATAATACTTTACAGGGGTGGGGCAAGATTCTCCAGAAAGCTGTATATGCTCTGAACCAGCATCCACTATGGTGCTGTTTCTCTGATAGCTAGTATTCATGGGTCCAGGAATCAAGGAGTGAGCATAGGAGTAGCTCCACTCACTACTACCCCTAGTGACCCACTAGCAAATTTTTTGCTTCCTGTTTCACGACATTACGTTCTGCTGCCCTAGAGATCTTAGTTCCAGAGGGAGTAATGCTTCTACCAGGAGACGCAATAGTGATTTTAATGAACTGAAAGTTCAGACTGCCACCTGGCCACTTTGGGCTGCTCCTGCATCTGAGTCTACAGGCTAAGAAGGGAGTTATGGTGTTGGGTAGGGTGATTGGTCTGGACTACCAAGGGGAAACTGGATACTACTCCACAATAGAGAAAAGGGAAAATATGTCTGGAATACAGGAGATCCCATAGGGTGTCCTGAAGTAGTACCACGCCTGTGATTAAGGAGGATGGGAAACTACAATAACCCCATCTAGGCAGAACTGTGAATGGCCCAGACTCTTCAGAAATGAAAGTTTGGGTCATCCTGGCTTATAAAAAACCATGACCAGGCTGAGCGCAGTGACTCACACCTATAACCCAGCACTTTGGGAGGCCAAGGTGGGAGGATTGCTGAAGCCCAGGAGTTCAAGACCAGCCTGGGCAACACAGGGAGACCCTGTCTCTATAAAAAAAAAACAAAAACAAAAAACATGACCAACTGAGGTATTTGCTAAAAACAAAGGGAATACACAGTGGGTAGTAAAATGTAGTTATGAATATCAACTATGACCTGTACCAGTTACAGAAATGAGGATTGTAGTTATACGGGCATTTCCTCCCTACTTGGTTAAGAAACTATTATATATACAGAGCATCCCTCAATCCCTTGTGCATATA